GTCTTTCTGTTTCTTTCTCAGGCGTAGGAGAGTTTCATATCCTGTAGCACAATTCGACATATTACGCTGCAGAACTACATCACCCAGAATGCTCCAGTATAGACAATCATTCTCAGGGATGACTCAATATGTTGCTTAAAAAGAAAGCTGTTTTCGATAATTGTAATTTCTTCTTCCATTTTTCTCTCTTACCTGTTCATGTTACACTGCGGCAGAGCAGGTAAGTGTATCTTTAGAGATAAAATGTCACAATCAAAGGACATAATGACTCAAAATGACTCAGGATGGGTATTCTCTTTGTACTGTCTGAAATTAAGGTGATTCTTTCAGTATCATTTTCAGAGGTATCTTCCCTGTCCTACACAATCCTTCCTCTCTGACTCACTGTTGGCCAGATGACACAAAGTGTGGAAAATCCTAAAGGTTCAAGTGATGATTTTGTTTTATATATCTCTGCTTATTTTTGCCTATGTTGTTTTGCTCATTTCAACATCCTGAGGTGCTTAAATGCATATGTCGCTTATCTGATTATGCACAATCTCTTAAGTTTTGGCTTAACTGTCATAAATAGGTGATTGTGCAAGGCGTTGATGCTTTATGGGTGGATTGTGTGTGTGTGTGTGTGTGTATCAGAGCGCTCGTGTGGTAAGAGAATAGTGCAGGTGTTTCCTGTTGTAAAAAAGAGAACAGAATGTGTGGTAGGGTCGCATACAACGAATGTGTATATGCATGCGTGTATTGATTTTGTGTGTTGTGCAGACCACAGCACTCTGTAAATTGGCCAAATTTGGACTGAGGCATATTTATAAAACAGTAGCTGTCTCTCGTACACACATTACAGTTTAAAGCCTAGTTCTTTAAAGGGAGAGTTCACCCAAAAATGACAATTCTGTCATTATTTACTAATTTCCATGTCATTTCAAAAATGGACTGATGAACTGTTTTTGTCCGTGCAGTTTAAGTTATTGAAGTCCAGAATAACACTGGACCCCTTTGTCTTTTATTGTATGGACAAAAA